TTTGTAGAAAATCCCTGTAAAATCGCCTAATTTTATACCTAATACTTATCAATAATTTTTTACATTTATTTAATACCAGTATTGCGTAACAAAACATAAACTCACTATATTGCGTACTACAAAGGTAATGATTTTTTTTTAAATTTACACTTTTTTCTAGTTTCAACGTTAGCTTTTAAAATTTTGAAACAAGCAAAATAAAAATACAAAAAACAATGCGATTTAATTTAATAAACAAAATAATTTAACTTTTTCTTAATTCGTTTTTAGTTTAGGTTAATTCAATACTTTCTTTTTTTTGGAAATTTTAAGACAATTTGGTTTTTTTGTGAAAAATATTTCTGCTTTCTTCATACAAGCCAAAAAAAAAACTTGAAATTCTTTTTTTCTATTGAGCCAGAGCTGTCGTTTAGCTTCGATTTGAAAATTTTTGTCTTCGGCTCTTCCTTTTGCAATTTGGCTCCAATTTTGCTTTTTCCTCAGTCAAAACCCAAACAAAAATTCTGATAATTATTTCAAGTAGCAGAAAATGGTATACTATATACATTTTTCTGCTAATTTAAAAGCCACAAATTTTTTGGTATTTTAGTCAGTTAAAGTGTCAAATAACCAAACTTGTAAAAATGCTTCGACGTTAACAGATAAAATCTGTTTGTATTTTTCTGATCACTATAACTAGAGCGTAAACTTTGAAGTAAACGCATATGTCTGCATACAGTATATGAAGTTTCTTTAAAAAAATATTTTAAATATTTTTTAAAGTTTTTGTTGTGATATTTTTTATTGTCAATTTATTTATTTTTTTGTTTTTAATTTTTGTTTAAGGTTTTTGTTTTGTTTTTCTGAGTTTTTTTATATTCTTATATTAATAAATTATTGTTGTATGAAATATAGTAATTGGTACCACTTTTTTGAAAATGACTCCCTTTTTTGAATATTTCGGGTTCCCCAAACAGCCCTGTACAAAAATTTGGAACCCACTAAAATAGATGCGTAGAATGTGTAAATACACATACCCGTAAGGTTACAGAATTGAACACACCGCGTGTTCTAACATTTATTGTCAAAAATTTGTTAAATATAATTTTATGTGGATATAAAATTTTTTACTTTTTTAAAGTTCAAAATTGCACTCACGCATTGTCAAAGCCGAAAATTACAAAATATTGCGCAGACACGTAACTCATTTTGGCACACTTGCTAAGCGTCTTTATGCCTTCAATATTTGAACACCCTAATCAAAAATGCATACCTAATTATAATTTAGATATAAATTATACCTGATTGCTTTTGAAAATTGTTTTAAAAATTTTGTTTGCACCATATTGTTTTTAAATATCTGAAAATCGAGTGGTTTTCTCTTGTTTCTATTAGATTTTATTGGCAGTCAAACTTTAACTAGACATCAGATGCACAAAATCTAATGTGTAACAGGCTCCTAACTTGTTTTCAAATAAAATTTTTTTCACTTTTATTAATATTCCAAAGTTCTTCTAAAAGTTTGTGTAAAAGTTAACCGTTTAAAATTCTATAATTTCTCATTTTCATTGACTTAAACGCCGTTAGTTTTGAAATATTAACACAAAATACGTATCAAGCGCAAGATATTTCTTTCGTTCATTTAATTTATTAAAACAAGTTTCAAATAACATCGTTATATGTTTTTATTTATACTATTTTGTTATTTTAAATTGATATTTTATTTAAAATTACAAATCAGATTTTATTTAAAATTATTTATCAGATTTAAAAAATACAAAAAAACCGTCATGTTTTTACCGAATCAAAAATTGAAATCTGCAAAAGTTTTTTGAAAAATTCAGATTAGCTACAAAATTGGCATTTATTGCCGTTTCTCATTACTTCAAAGAGTTGATGATCATGTCAAACACGTCATTCGTTTGATTTTGCAAATGACAATCATTTGCAATTAAAAAGTTTTCGCAATTGTCATTTTAAAAATGATTTCAATAACATAGAAAATTTAAAATTTCGAAACCAAAATTTTTAATTCGTCAATCATTTTCAAAAAGTTGAAAAGCACGTTGATGAAAACTATAGAGTGTAGTTTTATACAACCTACAAAGTTTTTATACGTTCACAAATGTTAAAATTTTTTAATATTTTTTCCAATCAAGTTGCAACCATCAAATGGTTGATAAATTTGCCAACTATCGATTCAACGTGTTGAAAACTTACTACGTTATATGTTGAATAGTGGATGGTCAGCATAATTTAAAACGTGAATGTCATTTGGCGTTGGAATTCATTAATTACATCAGTTACACTCATGCGGTATATTGGGCTTGATTGGGCTGGGTAACTGCCTTTAAGGAATAAAAAAATAATATTATTTAGTCAAAATAAAATTGACTTTTGATAATTTTATAATTTGTAGAAAATGTTACGCATTACTGAAATTAAGAATATTAAAATTTTTTCATATTAATTTTTTATTTAAATTCGTTTTGTTTTACTGTTTTTTTTTAGTTTTTTTTAAATGTATATTAAATTTATCGTTTTTACTTATTTAGAAATGATTTTCAAACTTTAAAAAAAACAACGAAATTTTGTTTTTTCTTATATTTTTATTTTTTTTCTTGGTTTATTTTATTTTCTTTTTTTTTAAGGATGGAGAAGGATGTCGTGGTGAATGTATTCCTCTTCGCGCCAATAGTGCCTGATTTTGTCACCCAAAGCAAACGCATTATACCCATATAGAGTTAAAAAAATTTTTAGACATTAAATTCATAATATCAAAATCATATTATTAATGTTTCGCAATGTATTTACATACATATATACAAAGATTTAAAAAAGTAAAAAAATTTATTTACATATTACATACACAAAAAATTGATAAGTTGATGAAAAACTAAAACAGAAAATAAAAAAAAAAAATTTGAAGCAATTAAATAAAATAAACAAAAAATTAATTAAATTAAAAACAAAAACATAAATTTTAAAATTTAAATTGGTGTTATTTATCTTTTTTTTGTTTTGCAATGAAAAATGAAATGGTTTTTATTGTATTGTTTTAGTAAATCTAGAAAGTGCATGACAATTTTTTTTATTTTTTTTTTTTGGTTTTTTCCTACAATGTTTTTGTACTTGTTTATCTTAAAATATAACAATTAAAAATGAATAAAAGATAAAATATTTAAAATTCTCTTATTAAAATTTTAAATAAAGTGAAAAATTAAACTGTATAATGAAAACAAAAAAAGAAATATGCTTTTATATAATATGACAGTAGCAACATTAAAACTGTTATATTATATGTATAGAAAAATATACATACACATTAATATTTTTAATACACCTACGCTAAATAAATTATTTGTAAAATGTTATTAAAATTTATCAAAAAAAAGACAGCTTTAATTTAAATACAAATCGAGAAAAATAAATGTTATTATCAAAGTAAACGAAAAAAACATCGATATTTTAATAAAAGTATATAAAATACATATTTTATACAAATATATGAGTACCTACATGCATATGAAAAAAAAATACAAAATGAAAAAAATAAGTAGTATAAAATATTATTGCACGTTTTATTTGTTATATTATACATATATACTTTATGTTACTTTAATCCATATGCCTAAATATATATACCTATTATATATTTATACATACATACAAACTTTTATTTGCGTTATTATTCTATTAAAAAAAATATAAATACCTATATACTAAATATATAAAAAACCAAATTATTAATAAATGAAAAAAGAATAATAAAAAGCGAATATTGCCATCAGAATTTATTTTTTAAACTTTTTTATTATGTTCATATTGCATATAAATAAATAAATAAAACTGAAATCATTAAAATAAAAATCAAAAAAGAGAACAAAAACTTTTTTTTATAATTATAACAGGTGAGTAAAACGGTAGAACAAAGGAATAATTAAAAAAAATTACAATAATGCACAGTTCTTTATTTTATTTTGATTATTATTATAATTTCTTTTTTATTAAAAATAAAAAATAAATTTTAAAAATTTTGTATTTCTCGTTTAATATGCCTTTTTTATTTCTTTATGAAGCTGCAATAAACCCGATACATAAATTATAATACTATTTGAATCGTTTTGTTTATTTCTAATTGATAAGATTTATAAGTTTATACTTACATACGTCCTCATACACATACATTATAATTCATATTTATTTAAACATTATCCATTAATTTTCGAGCATTTTTCGAGTAACTTACTTCATACATACATACATATTAAACCGGGTTGGCAAAAATGCAATTCTAATAAAATAGCAACAGATGATTTACAATTCAATAAAATACCAATATTACAGTTATAATAGTAAAGTAAACTTTAATATGTATTATGCTTATAGAGAAGTTTCACATGTAAAATATGAGAGGATTATTTCTGACAAGAATTTTTTTCGCTTGCCCCTACCTACCTAACTAAAAAGGTTAAAAATGGATTTTTAAGGGCAATGATAATTGATAGAAGAGTCAATATGACATGCCTATATTATGTTCATAGCTACTTAGATAAATATGTGTACATATATTATTATTTACTCAATGGCATAACAGAGTAATAATAACATAATAATAATAATTATTATCCATTTTTTTCATGTGAAATAATATTTTAAATTCGTTTACAGTAAGAAAATTATAAATTCCATACATACATTAATATGTATGTAAGCCGCCTCTCCCGAAAGTGGCACCTCCATTGTATTAGTTTATATTCTCATCATAAATATTTTCCAAATATGAAAATAACCATCAATTTAAACAATTCTTTGAAAATTTTCTCTTTTTTTCTTAGTTCAAAAAAAAACCTGCAGTAGGTTTTCGGGAAAACTAAAATATGTGTTTCCATACAGTTATAAAATACTAAAAAGAAACTATATAAGTAGTACAATATGTACTTATTATGAAAAAATAATACCTGTCTGCACAGATTTTTTAATTTTTATTTACATAAAATTTTAACTTTCAATTTTTTCAGGACTTTAAAGAGTATATAGATCCAGAAGGTTTAATGCCTTACTCTACATCAGATTTTCATAAGCCAGTTTGCTTAGAAATGCGTACAATAAAAAATGCCCAATTACAATCAAATAATTTAGGATTATTAGCACTACCTCCACTTATACCACCACAAACATTTTCAACAAATGTTGTTGGACAAACAACGACGACAACCGTTGCAATAACACAACAACAATCATTTCAACAACAACAATTAAATACATTTGCTGGTACAATAACATCTTCTAATGTTAATCAAACAACAATGACAACATCGGCATCATATTATGGTACAAATAGTAATATTGTTTCATTACCACTAGAACAACAACAAAATTATTTAGCAAATAATGCAAATGCATTAAATAATAATAATGTTGGTGTCGGCTCTACAGTTAGTAATCAAACATATGTAATTAATTTTAATTTATCATCATTAAATGCGGCAAACAATAATAATAACAATTTGAATAATATTAATAATAATAATATAAATAATTTAAATAATAATAATGGTGATTTAGCTAGCATAGATAGTTCTGATACATACGCAAGTTGCCAAACTCATCCATTTTTATCACAAGGAGACTTAACCGCTGATTTAGGAGATGAAGCATGCGCTCTAGACATAGATATGAATAATTTATATATAAATCCTTTGGAGAAAGAGACTATTCAAAGTGGCCAACAACAAATTCCAACATCATCATCTAGTATGATTAAATCACAAGTTAAAAAAAGTGCATCTGGTGATACTGCACTGAGAAATTTAGCAAGTGGTGTTAATAATGCAGGTTGTTACAGTGGCACAGCAGGACTTTTAGACGATGATTTCGATATCCAAGAAATACGTGGTAGTAGAGTAAGTCTAAATGAAATAACACCTGTGCCAAAACATCGTAAAACAAGATTTCAACAGATGTCAGGTGCAGCAAAACCACGAACACGTTTCGAGGATTCAAAACAATCGCAAGAAAGTTTAGGGGAAAGTAAAAAACGTCGTTCATCATTTATGCCATCGAGAAGTTTAGCTTCAGCAACTAAATTAATTAATCAACATCTATTTGGTATACAAAATATTGGGTCAAAAAGTAAAGGTATGCATATAAGAAAATATTTCTCTTAAAACTAGTAAAATTCTAGACGAAAATATTAATCTTAATATTGTACACATATACCATACATCCCTTTTTTTTAATTTTATTCCAGCTAAACTTGAAAGTAAGCATTCTTCATCTATTGATTCGATAGACGCCTCACCAAATTTAGAACATCAAAGACGTTCAAAATCTATATTGAAAAATAAGTCTGATACTGGAAAAATGTTCACAGATCCAGAAAGTGAACGTTTACTGTCTGATAATATGTCTGGTTCTGGTATATCGGATAATGGAACCGTCATGGTAATATTTCTATTTCGGGTGCCAAAAGTATACAAGATTTTAGGTTCAAAATTAAAAACAATATTCGTATTTGCATAAATGTACTGAAAATAAATTGAAATATACTTTAAAATTATCAAAAATAGAAAATTGCTATGTTTATTAATTTTATTTGTAAATAAAAAATTTAAAACCTTAATGTTTTGTTAAATGTGGTTTTTTTTTTAATTTATAAAATTCAAAGAAAATTTTTTGTAAATACATAAATATTTCATTTTCACGCTTTACCAATATTAAAAATAATACATTAAACTACCAAGCTTATTAAACTTATTGTAATATTTAATTAAAATTTTAAATTATATAATTAAAAATTTGATTTAAACCGGAATCAAATTTAATATTGAAAACTTCATATTTCTTTTTCTTTTTTTTCTACAAAAGGGTGAATCCGGAAGCGATTACTCACCGAATAAATTACCTCATTCAGTTTTAGCCAAATCAGTTTCCCCACCACCTCTAAGGCATCGAACGTTAATACAACAACGTTCTGGTCCAGCTACATTACAATCAAAACCAACTTCAACCAATATAATGAGTACTTCAATAAATTCAGTTGCAACTTCATCACCAAGTGTTGTATTAACAACAATTTCAACTTCAGGTATAAAGAAATTTCAAATACCTCGATATCCTGAGCAAGAACAAGCTGCATCTGTTGGACGTCAAAGTAGTAGTGGTAGCAGCAGTGGAGGTGGTATATCTCATACAAAACCTCCACCACTTGTTAGGACCGGCGCACAAATTGAACGCTTTCTAAGCGATAGCCGATATGATTCAACAAATAGAGACAGTAGTTTGGGTATGTATAATTTTATTGAAATTAAATATTGAAATATAAATAAAAAATAATATTTTTACTTTAAAATATAAATTAATTTATAGATTCTGAAACCACCTTCATAACGAATATTCGGGAACGAGATGAAGGTTCTAGTGATGAAAATAGATCATTATTACAACGTGGAAGTTCAAATGAAAAATCAGAATCCGGCGGAGTATCGTAGCATTCAATGAAGTAATTCATTTATATAGTTATACAATTACGTATTTATAGTTTACTTTAATTTTAGGCTGCGAAAATATTTTAAATGATACAACAGTGATGGACGTACACATTTTTGAGCTTTAAGTTTTTTTTAAGTTTTGAAATTTTTGTATTAAACTGAATTTTTAATAACTAAAACGAATTTCTACAAATAATCGAATATATGAAGTCAATCAAAAAAGAAAAAAAATCAGCGCATCGAGATCATATTTTTCACTTTTCATAAAATTTATGTACTTACATATGCATATATTCAAGTGTAATATAAAATATTTGTATAATGTAATTTATATAAATTGTAACATGTATTTAGTTAACATATTAATTGATCTAGTTGCTTATAATTAACGATCTCCAAATATTAATTCACGACAATTACTGAATCATTCATAAAGTTATGAATTATTTAAGTAATGAAATAATTTGTAAGAAAACTATGTATAATACTATTTTAACTGCGATAAAGCATTAATTTTAACTTTTTTATTGTAAACCAATAATTTTCATAAATTATTGGATATACATAAAAGCTAAATATCTTCATTTAGAAAAACCTTGTACCAAATTATTTATAAAATAAAATATGCACAATATTGTAATTTATTAGCAGACTTTACTTTATAATACAAAGAGGTTTTCTTGTTGTTTTCATATTTTGTTAAATCAAATTTCAATTATTATCGGTGAACTATACATATATTAAAAATATATGTATATAATATATGTAATTAAATAAAATTTTATGTATGTACACAGCTTAATTTTGAGCTGTTTTTGAAATCTTTTATGATATATGTATATCTAAGTCGATCGAAAATATTTGGACAATACTATAGGCAATTTAATTGATTATTTGGTAAACTATATACTTTCAACTATGTGTACATAGTATTCTAGTTATATGTAATTACACATAGTAAGTGTAATTACATATAACTAGAATAGGTAAATTCAAGTTTGTATAATTACATATATAATTCATTTTTAGTATGTTAATTTTGTGTATAAATAATATTCATGTATATATATAAACATGTAAGCACATTGCCATTCCAAGTGCATTGCTAAATATTGCTGCACAAACCCTTTTAAATGGATAAAATTTTTTTATAACAGCCAAAATGGACTTTGGCTCACAATATCTAGAAATCTTTTAAGCTGTGAATATTGACTGCGGACAACAGTTTAAACCACTTATAAGGGTTAATGCGACAGTACATGGCAATCCATTTCGCTCTTGGCATGTGGATGGCCAGTACATGAAGACAAATGTGTATTAAATATAAAATGATACATAACATGGAAATTTATTTAATTTCATGTATTTATTATTTACATAAATTACATATTATATACATTATTATCAATTACATCAATATTACGTAATATGAATCTACAAATATATAAAAATCTATATTTTATAAAAAAAAAAACAAAAATGTTTAAAGAAAAAAAATAATTCATATGAGTATATATATAGTAATATTTAACATAACACAGCCAAAATATTCTAAGAAATAAAACAAAAAAAAGGGAAAAGATAGACATATAATTGCTCGTTAAACACGAAAACTATAAGATATTAAAATAAAATATATATGTAATTATATTACACATACATACATGTAATATTTCAAAACACTTTTAAAAAATTATATAAAAATTAAACTTATAAATATTATATAAAAATATTATATAAAATTAAGCTTTTACAATATAAAATATATTATTCAAATTTTATTATAAAAAATATTTAAGTAAACTATATACTATAATTTTTATTATCTCTATGTATATATACGTATATATGTACGTACCCTAGTATACAAATAAAAAATAATACGGACTAAGATTAGTATCAATTTATGAATGTACCCTGAATTTTAATTTTCTCGTTCTACAAAAAAAAGTAAAGGAATTATGAAAGTCTAATTGATCTAATGAAATTCATTTTAAAATTATTACCATTTTTAATGAAATTTTGTATTAAAATATTAATTTTCACTAACATTCTACTTTTTTAAAAATACTATTAAATATTGTACTTGCTATTTTTCCTTTTTTTTTTGCTCAATTTTTTCAATTTAATTTGAAGTCTATATCTGCAAAAATGAATCAACTGAAACTTTCATTATATGAATAACTTAGTAAACAATCATAATGGACACTTTTAAGTATATGAGATCATTAACTGTTAATTTTGTTTTGAATTAGTTGAAAAATTAATAAAAAATGGTTTAAAAAAAACCGTAGTTAATTACATAGTGTCGGCAATCAAATAATTGGGCAATTATTTAATTTGAAAAGAATTTTTTTGAAATATCAATTGCTCTAAAAGTTTCTTTTATACAGAAAAAATCGATTTTTATTTTAACCATTTTATGTCCTCATATAATGCGTTTACTCATATTGCTAGAAATATAATAAAATTATTGAATAAATTACTGCTAATCTAATCAATAAATAGTAAATTTATAATTTTAAAGTTATAGCTACTATATATTTGTATAAATTGTCCCAATTAATTAAGTTTTTGTTTTAAATTATCATTTATTACCTATATACTTTAAATGAATTTCCATGTACCATATACCTTAAATAAATTTAAATAAATTTTTACAATTTTTAATAGTAAAAAGTCTAAAACATAAAACAAAATTATTTAAATACTTATTTATCCAAAGATGTTAAGACAACATTGAACAATTCTAATCGTTCCTTCTGCGTTCTCACTATAGAATAATAATTAAATCAATTTATTTAAATATTCTAATTTTGTTTGTTTTTCTTAGCTGTAGTAGAATAATAAATCAATTTTAAAATATTCTAATTTTGTTTGTTTTTCTGTTTATTTTGCAAAAATATGTTTAAATTCAAGAGATTTGTTCCAAATTTTCTTACTAAGTTAATAATTAACAAATGTGTATGTAAATATTGCATTGAACTATAATAAAAAATAACAAAGTTCATGTTTTATGAAATGAAATATTAACATATATATGATCTTATATTTACATATAATACGTATATGTATAAAGTAGAAATATAAATATATGTATAATAGTTAGATTTAAAAATTAAGCAAATTAAAAAAGACGTAAATTAATTCAAAAACAATATATGATATTTATATTATTAAAAATAATAGTTAGTTTGTAATTTAATGTTAAATGAAACAGACGTAAAATTCACGAAAAAGAAAAAAATATAAAATGCAAAAAAAAAAATTAAAAATTACTTCTAAAACTAAGTTGAAAATAATTTTGAAGAATAATTAAATAATTAAAATCATGATAAAATATCTAAATAGTTATATTATTATATAGCAAATTTAACACATAAATTAAAATATATTTAATTATTCAATTTTTAATTATACTTTTTAAAATAATTCACTTTATCCGTTTTTTTTTCTTATGGCAATATTGTGCAATTTTTCTTAAATGATTTTTTGATAAACTGTTTTTTATAATAATCAAATTATTATTGAATTATAAATATACCTATGTGTATTGAATTTATTCTTTCATGTTTTTATGAAAATAGATTTGTGAAACAATAAACTGTAAAAGTTTTTTGGGTTCAATTTTTAAAAAATTTCTTTTGAAATTACATAATTTTTTTTTACTTTACTAAATTTTAAGTAACTTGCGATTGCCCAAATATAACAAGTTGTAATATAAATATAAATAAAAATTCTATTATTTTAAATAAATTCATAAATGACATTTAATTATTTAACTTCATTTTGCCTCTGAAACTTTTAATTTCAGAATTAACTACAGATTAATTGGAACTGATAAAATATAATTTACATATATTATAAAATATAATTTACATATATTATCATTAATATATAAAATAAGTAAGAAATTATACAAAAATTTGCTAATATTGCCGATTTAAAAAGTAAAAAGAAATCCTTATATATTATAATTTTTATCCGTTAAACATAAAATATTCATATATACATAAAATTTCATTTTAAATCTGCTTTTTCAAATTGTTAACTTTTGTCTGTGATGTAATAAAGAATTCTAGTAAATAAATCATTAAGTTTAACAAAGGAATTGAAATAAGCATACATAACCATACATATATACTAAAATACAATTAATTATATTTTATTTTAAAAAACAATAATAAACATAAAGAAGTTTATTTTTATTATACTATACATATATTAAATTTATTTAAAACCTAATGATGTATTATATATATATAATATAATTCTATGTAATTATAAAATATATATATTACAAAAATGTTGTTAAATTATTATTTTATTTAGTAAAAATATAAATTATTATTTATTATAACACTTTATATTACATACATATAATTTTAATAAAAAAATTTCTTTTGTTTTATTTTTAAAATTTTTTAATTTTGTTTTTTGATTGCCTCTCACTGCAGATATATAGTATTAATACACAATTAATTAATCAGTAATTATTGATAACAATTTGTTAGCTAAAATTTTTATTAACACTACGTACTGTATTTGCTGTCTGCAATGCACTTTTGACGCGAAATTAATATGTAAATTAAATTCTCATTTATAGCTTTTTATATAATATAATATTTAGAATTATTTCATAATTCACCTATTCTGACAGTTTTGAATTTTCAATTTTTCAGATTTTTAAAAGTAAATTGGTTATGTTATACTCATAAGTGTATTTAATTTTAAATGAAAATTAACATCACAAAATAAAGTTAAATACAATATTGTACACGTTCAAAAATCTATATCTTATAAATTAAGGAATTCAAAGAAAGATAATGTAAGAAAAGGAGATATAAACTTAGATTTCTTTATTTAATTTAGAAAAAAAGTGTAATAGGAATTTGGCAATAGCCAAACTATACAAAATATATTCACAAATTGAACAAAATTCCGTTCGACACCAAAAGTTTTATAATATACAAATTATATAAAAGGGAAATATATGTATGTATGTACATTATTATATCGAATTTTCTCTTACTAAAAGAGCTTATGTTGTTTACTTTTTCCGTTGTTACTTAAAAGAAAAATTTTGTTAACTTGAGGATTTAGAAACAAATTCATTGATTCATAATTAAGACAAATCATTCAACAAATACTCGAATAACTATAAACTAATAATTAAAATTTATAT